ATTAGGAAGCAGTCACAGGAAATGCATGCAAAAATATGCATAACATGCGTTTACAAAACAAAGGAACACTCATTTTCAGCATTTTTTGACAGCTCAGATCAGTTTGAAATATTGCAGGAAGTAATACGAAGGAGCAGCCTCAGTGAGCTTGTAGATGAAGAACTGCAGGGCACAGGCTGCACACCTCCAACTACTTAACAAGGTAAATATTCACAGACTTGTGCCGTGTGCCGCTGCCTCCAGAATTCTGGGATAACCTGTAGTTATAAAACGCATTTGCTGTTACCACCAGTAACTACGTGTTGCCAAATCAATCTTAACGATTGCCATTTTAAAGGTTACCTATTATGCAATTTCTTAGTTTCTCTCATATGTGTAATGTTACAATGTCAGATTTTGATATTAAACGAAGCCAAAGTGTCAAATAATGAGGTAAACGTATGTCAATGCAATGTTTCCAATGTCTTTTTCCAGATGACGTCATCATCTCCAGGCAGAGCACGGCTGAGTACGGCCACAAATCTGTATGCAGAAAGTACTTTTCCCTTGTGAGGGAAAGTTACAGAAAGATAAATAAGGATGTTTTTGAAGAATGAATCATGCAAAGCTACTGTAGTTGAGTCTCAGTCTAAGAATATGGAGCTGAAAATGAGCATAATCTGTTGACTTTAAGGAGAGGTGCGAGGAGTCTAAATATTCTTCTCTTACTGTGGTTCTTACATAAGCAGTGCCTTCATATAAAAAATAGATTTTATAAAAGAAAAGAGCGACAGATATCCCAAGCCATGGTCTTCCTACTCCACATCAATAATTCACACATCTGTGGTGCTAGCATGGCATCAACCGTCTTCTTTACACATTTATTGCCTGCAAATTGACTTGTGGCAGCTTTGTGATTATTACATGGACGGAGAGAGACGTTCAGAACATCTGGTGTGGTAACTAACGGCTTTAGTCCCAGCATCTGAAACAGTGACAAGCAAATAAAACGTAGCACAGGAAGACAGTTGGTTGTCTGTGTACCTTCCACGTTTGACTAAAGTTTGTGCAAACTGTCAAATCCCATCTTGCAACATGATGGCGTTCAAACTCTGAGGTGTCACTCAATTCAATAAGGAGTGAGAGCAAACAGCTCTCTCTGGAGGGGGAGAGCTTTTCTAAACTACAGAGGAAGGTCAGACACCTTTGATTTCATAGCCTGAAAAAGAAACAGGCAGGTTTTTGTTATTGTTTTATCTGTATGTTGTTAGTAATCCTTCTACAACGAGATGGCTTCATTAATTAATCAAACACCGGCTTTTTATCTCAGGCGGAGGTTTTCCATGGTTGTTTCCTTCTCATTCATCCCTCCGACTCAGCCAGCTAGATGTGATATTTATGCCTTTGAGTCACACTGTGCAGTGAGAATTTCAGCCAATAACGGCACCCACCTGCAGTGAAGATGAATATGTAAATTTGAAAAGTGGGTCAGAGATCAAATTTCATCAGGTAAAAATCACTGCTGAGATATCCTATCTCCGAGCAGGGCTTTTCAGCCAATCTGATTCCGCCCTGACCTTCTGGATGACTGCCATCATTCTGGTTTATCTCATAAAAGTATTCAATCACCAATCATTTATCACCAAAAGTATTAAGAGACGCAGGCAGGCCGGTGATCTAATTAATGCTATCTGATCAAGGTATCTTTTGAGCCTCAGACAATTTCAAGCAGATGTCATACTGGACTTAACACTTGGAAATGACAACGCTTCAAACCCTCTGCCTCTAACTCATCATATCATAGAAAGCCAAATGGCAGGCTTAGTGTTATGGAAGGCCTGCTGTTATTATGTTAGAGCTTAATTTTGTTTTCATTACTTTGGTTTGCTTATTTTAATTAGTGGCCTTAATCTGCAATTAGCGCAGAGGTCAACTATACTCTTAGCTTTAAAAAAAAGAAGAAAGAATTGTTTTGAAAGAAGGGAGAAATTGTTCGGACATGCATTTAATTAGACTGTTAACCCACTAAATGTCAGTGTCACTCACTCCTATGCTGTCTTATTAGAACGATAAAAGAGACATAGTGCCAGTCATGACTGATTGAGCACATGACTTTATTTAATTCAACTGCTACTAGAAGGATACTTTGAGAGGATCAATGCTGATACGCTGATGGGGTCAATGCACACTATGATTGCCTTTTACATAATTTAACAACATCCAATGAAACCTGGAGGTCTGTATGAAAGAGAATATTAATTCTATTTCCTGTCATCATATTGTGTGGAAATTTTTAACTTTTTAAAATAACACATCTCAAGTTGTTCACTAGTAAAACATGTACATGTATGACAGTGTCATATTATTAATAAAGTTCATATACTACTGTGTAATTATCCTCTCTTGTTTAAGTTTCAGTGTCAGCTAACGTCTCTATCTTGATTCAGAATTTGGCATACTGAGGCCTCATTAATACCCCACGCTCCTGGGCGCTTGGTGAACATAGCTTGATGTGTGACAGTAGAGCATGAATGATATAGCACATTGGGATATGGTCCAAATGTTTCTCTTTTTCCTTCACAGAGGGAGAACTGCACCAGGGTGGAGAAGAGGCAGTGAAGAGTGGCCACCAGCTGGCTCAGGTTCTTCCTGCTGTGGCCATCAGCCGCTCCAAAGGACAACTTTAATTCATTTATTCTACCCGCTTATCTTGGTAAAGTCATCTGTCATGGGAAATACATGCATAACAAAACATTTTTACAAAATGTTTTGAAAGCTGAAATGCTAACTATTTCAAGCTGTGTGACACAAGGTACTGAAGTTTAGATTTTTTTAAACAGCTAGCTCTTGCTGCCCTTTGAAGGTGTCAACAACCAAAGTGGCTTTGTGTTGCTTTAATGTCAGCGACAAGTTGTGTTTATGCAGGTCTCATAGTTACGCAGCACTTTGAATGCTAAACAGCTGCAATAAAACATGAGACCTTTCATGTGTAAGGTGCTTATGAGGCCAGAAAAGTCTGACTCTATAGAGCTACATGTTGGCCATAACTCAAACAGGGTGTCAGACATTATGAAATATTTATGAATTTAGTGGGAGGGAGCTCTGAGATTTACACTTTGTGGAGACACAGGCTGCCCCATCACCTCGGCTAAACTAATTACTGCAGACAAATTTTGAATAAAGACTTGTCAGTGAGACATGGGAAATGTGTCACAGAACTGCTACAAGGGAGATTTCATGTCCACTAGAATTACCTTTCAACACTGTCTGATATAACATCATCAGCATCTTTAATGATAATGATTTCAGATACATTTAACAACTACATACACTACTGTTATATTTAAAAAAAAAAAAAAGGTTATTGATGTTTCAATGTGTTTGTTTTACTTGGTTCCTAAAAAGAAACACTTTGGAGATAATGGTTTTCAGTGGACATTGTCTCTTACAGTCTCATGTCAGTGCATGCACTCCGGATCCTGCTGCTGCTTTCAATAAAAGTATCCAACAAATGGCCTATATTTTATATACAATATTTTTTGCATTTTCAAGAAAGGCCTTTGCTGTTTTTTAATTCGTCTGGGTGCGATACAAAACCTCAATTTTTCAGTCCAGAAAGCAGAAGTAATGCGTGAGTTTATAGCTTATACACTAACCTCCTTTGTATTGGAAACGATTTTCTATGTCTGGAGAAAAGCAACTTAATCTCTGCCATACCTAAAGGATTATGTAAAATATAAAATTAAGCAGAAATCATAAATAGTTTTCAGAAACCCTTTTTATAAACCATTAAAAATTATTAAAGGAGTCTACAAATGATATCTGTGTAATTCTCCTCTGTGGTAGACGTCAATAACAAAGAATGAGTAACTGGTCAATGACAGGAACAGCTCTGTAGCTCTGTCAGCTTCAGATAACTCTGCCTTAACACCTGACTACAGCATACTCACCCACCCAAAGTATCGCTTCGGTGCTCAAGTTGTGGTGACTTTGTCTGACAGCAAAGGAAAGTCCTGCTAATCAATTCGCTCTGTTCGGACACTAAACCCACATACTCCTCCTGTCTCACTTTAAAATTCAGCTTCTGACAATGACATGCCTTATCAATCATTGTGAATATCTCCTTTGTTTTGTAACATAAAGACAGTGCCAGTTGAACCTATGACTCAGTAAGGCTATAAATAACTGGCCTCTAAAACTCCACTCAGACCCAGCTCATTAGAGCCAGGCATTATACCAACATAATGGCCACAAGACTCTGTTTTATAATGAAGCCAGAATGAAATCTTTCTTAACACAGAGAGGTGGAAATACAGTACAAGCATTATTGGACACGAAATTATCAAATCTGTGTATGAAATTAAATGAATCTATTTCTTAAAACTTGGATTGGAAAACTTGCATGATTAGCTTTCAGGATATGACTCAGTAACTGGGCCAGGAGGAGCCTTTTTTCCTTTACTCTTCCTCACCGCCCCAGTCTCTGTGGCTGACTGCCTGATAAGCTTTGCCAAAAGTGAGATTTAGCACAGGGCATCTATGCAGAAACCTCCATGAATAACAGTGAAGTAAAGGAGCACTTTTAAAAAGAGAGGGAAAGGCAATAATTGTCAAGCACCCATTCCTGCTCATACTTACGAGTAGTGATTTCCATGTGACCACGACAGCTAAAGCCCAGTATCATTCATTAATGCCCCGTCTCCTCATTACTGTCTTCTCACACTTTTGAAAGACTCATTACCTGCATAATGGAATAGTGCTTAGAACAGTCAGACCTTTCCTTAGTCTGAATTAATCACCTACATGCACAGACAAAAAGGGAATTCTCACATTAAATATTAAGAAACTTTAAGCTCTAGCTTTCTACTTTTTCAAACTTCTAGAAGATGTACTTTCTTGAGGTGCACCGTCAGGGACATGAGACTGCTATCATTGAAGACTGCCCCTGTGTCTTTCATGTGTCTGCAAGGACAATATGGAAAAAAAATGGGAAGCATGGAAGAAGAAAGAGATATACTTACAGTTGACCGTGACTTTTACTGTTTTGGTGTCAGGAGAGGCGATGTCATTTAAAGCGCTGCATTCATAGTCTCCAGCTTGGTCCCTTGTGATGCCGGTGATGTTAAGATATTCACCGCTGTCATACTTCCTGGCTGGAAATAGAAAAATGGAGGCAAAGTACTTACACTGTGTCTACAAAGAATACAAACACAGCACACAAACACACACACACACAAAAACATTCAGTATATATAGCTCTAGGATTTCTGTAGCCTATGGTTAGCATGCAGAAACCCCCTCATTTGTAATAAATAGCATTCAGGTTTAGACCAGAGAAGAAAATACAATGCGATTAGGTATTGTACTCAACTCCTGATTACTTTCCTTACATCCTAAAATAGCTGCGGATTAGCAGTGCATTGATCCGTTCATATTGATATGGTGGAAGGAAATTAAATAATGGTGTATTCCCAGTCATACACTCATCATTTGCTCAACTCCACACCAAGCAGTTTGAGCTACTTCCCGGAAGACAGACAAATTCGATGGCTCAATGCACATGTCAGTGCTTTATAGTTAGCTAAAGGTGCCAAAGGCAATAGCAGAGCACCATGACTGACATATTAGCAGGGGCAGAGTGCACATAAAAAAGCTGGAGGGAGCATATATGTCCATTCAACAAAGACACATTAACATACTGTATATTACCATTGTTAGAGGTGACAGATGATTATTTTTGTAAATGTGTTGCTAGTAAGAATTAAAAGTATGATAACTAGAAAGAAGCAATAATGAGATACAGTATGGTGTCAAGTATAATTAAGTGAGAATAATTAGGACAAAATACACAAAATACACAATTTTATCCAGAACAAATCCACACATTATATTATTTAACATTAGAGCTGAAATAAACAGTCTGCATAGTCTGATTGATTACTTGATTAACCAATCGACAGAAAATTAATCAGCAACTATCCTAATAATCAATCGTTTTAGCCATTTTTCAAGCAAAAACTGAATTTTTTGCCAGCTTCTGAGACTGTGAGGATAGTAAACTGCAGATGTTTGAGTTTTAGGACATCATTAGAAACAAGTTACAGTATATGAATATATCACCTTGGGCTGTGGGAAACTATTATTCCTACTATTTTACTGCCATTTTAAAGACTAAACATGAGAGCAGTGCTGGCATCATGCCAGAACAGGAGCCAGATAAGCAGGCAAGGTAACTGGGCTCAGTAGCTTCTACTGACGTAGCTAATGGTAGAGGAAAAACACCACATATTAAAATCAGAAAAACGTAACAATATATTTCCTCACAAACACTTTCTTTGCATGTCTCTCCTCAACTTTCAACCAGAAGAGATTGACACGGTTTACACCGAGGTGTGCATCGAAGGGCAAGATGAGCTGCTTTGTTCTGAGCCAGCTGCAGTTTTCCTACATCCTTCTTTGTGGCACCAGGCCATATCATTGTGCAATAGTCTAGATATGATAAAACTTAAGTCTGCAGGGCTAGTTTTGTCAAAAGTGGTAGAAAAGCAAAACATCTCTTTATAACTGATATATTCCTCCCCATTTTTACAACAATAAAATCTATATACCATAACCACAGGCATTTACAACCTAAAATAATACCAAGAAGTCTTGTTTCCTCTACCTGCTCAACAGCTACATTATTCAGCAGCAAATTCAGCTGGGGTCTAGAGCTCAAGGAGTGATTAGTACCAGATACAATCCTCTTAGTCTTTGATATGTTTAGGACCAGTTTATTGCTAGAGAACTGTTTGCAACTCTTTGTTAAAAGTTGCAGCGATTTAATTAACTGTGGGTGCATAAATGTAGATTGTTGTTTCATCTGCATACAAAGACACACAGGCTTTTTAAAAAGCAAGTGGGAGGTCATAAGGGCCAGACGAGGATGGCAGAGAAAGCTAAGATGAGAAAAGGGAAAAGTGAACAAGCAAGAAGCCCCCGGACAAGAGTAAATCTCAGACTGGCGAAAGCTTTGAGAAATAAAAAGCTGTAAGACCGACGGCGAGCTGGCCTTCTTGGTGTTGGACTAGTAAGTAATATTAGCTGGCTTGCTATGTCTTGTGTTGTTAAACTTTCCTCTGCTCCGCAAGAACTTTCATTCTCCACCTTTCCACCTTGTCTTGGTTCTCTAGCCTCCAAACTTGTATTCTGTTTCATCTGTCTTACCTTTTTAGACCTGTTACCTGCCTGTTGTGGACCTTGCTTTACATTTTTGAACTGTGGATGTTCTGCCTGCACCCTTGGAATTGTTTGCCTGTGTTGGACTGCTTTTCTGGTTGAGAGCCTTGCCTGCCTCACCATCCCATAAGCCTTTGTACCTCAATTTTGGTTTAATTTGAGGTAATTAAAACATTTACTGCATAAAGCTCTGCCTCAGTTGTCTGCATCTGGGTCCTCCCCTATATTCCTGTTACTCTGCTCAATAAGCTGGATGGATGGATAGATAGATATGAAATTGGGAATACTAACAATGAAACCAATTTGACCAGGCATATTTGTATAATACATGGTTATAGGATCGCAGCAGGCAGCACTGTGTATGTGTATTAGAGTGACTGTGTCAGATTCTCCCCTGATCAGAATTAATTTCCAGCCCAGTTGTGCTCAGTGTGAAATCTATTTATATACAACTTTTCATGGTGGTAATGGTGGTTTGGAATGGAAGATGTGTGGACGCGTTTTGATGTCATGGGGATCAAACAGAGTGCACAATCAAGCAAAACTGAGTTTAACATGATGTTCAGAAAACCACAGACCCGACACTGACTCAGCAATTTCCCATAAAAGACGAGGCAGAATCAAGACAATCCATGCTTCAGGAGTGGAAATATTGCCATTCTGGGCTGCCATTCTCTCCCCTGCAAGTGAGCTGAATACTTATATAATACCACTTCGTTATTCTACAACCCTGGTGGCTTTTTATCTGCTAGGTATGTCAAAAACTTGAAACTGAAGGCATTGTCGATAATGAGCCTTCCTGTCTCTTCTCACACTGTTGTGGTGGCAACAATGGAGTCTTGGCAAAGATACTGGTGGCTACACAAACAGCAAAGGGAAGAAAAAATGTTTGAAAACCTGATCCATAAACAAGCACCGGATGTGTCTGAAAAACAGAACCATTAATATGCCAAGAGAGCACAGGGACAGAGACATAACCCAAAGTGCTCTATTCTTGCGGCAGTGCACAGCTCACAACTGGGATTTGCATTTTTTTACCTTAAAGGTCCAGTATGTAAGATTTAGTAGGATATATTGTAAGAAATTGATTATATTACCCATAGGTATGTTTTCATTTATAAACAGACCTATGCTTTTTGTGAACAGTATACTAAGAAATATGACTGGTTTATTTTTTCTCAAGCAGGAAACAAGTAAGAGAGCACTAGATTGAGAGATAGAACATGTGTTGTACAGCAGCAGCCACAGTGTCAGTGATCTCTGAAAGGGAACAAAAATCAGCTATCAAGTACAACTAAGGGACAGTTTTTCAGCACAAAATTTAATCCAGAATAAATGAATACATTGAAATTTAATTTCACTTAAACAGTTTGACTCATGCATGAATTGTTCTTGCTGTAGCATCAGTGCAAGTCACTGCCTGTGCAGTAGCCCTGCTGAGACCTATAGCCTGAGTAATATACCTAGAATTAAAGTTATGACAGATGCAGAGGGATTGGATATTATCTGTTTCAGTGAACAACTAGGTCTCCTGCTATGCTAGGCTACATTCACAGCCAGCACCGCTACTCCTGATAAAAGACAAAACACAAAGACAAAAACTATGCAAAATAAAAGTGAAATGAGAGTTTTGAAAGAGGAATGGACAGAAAAGCATGTGTTTATCTTCCCGACCAGCTGTTTTTCTTACAACAATACTGCTTGGAAAATAATATTGTTAGAGAATAATGTAATCTCACTGTCATTTGTGCAAGAAAGGAAATCTCTTTTGGTTAAGTAATACTGTGGAATAAATGTGTGTTTGAAATAGAGTTTTATTTATCATTTGTTATTTAACTGTTGATTAGACTCAATTTGTAAAAAAAAAAAAGCGTAGTCCATATTCTTTCTTCTTAACAAGCCTTGAGAATGGCACAGAGCGAGGCACAGCATTGGTTTTCTTTCAACATGGCACTGATAATTAATGTCATTTTCATTGACATTTAAATTGGCCTTACATTTACATGTCGACAGAAGACATCTGAAACATACTTGATGTAGTGTGATATAGTCAAATTAGAGTAAAGTTCAGATTACATCGGACCAGAGAAAATCATTTTGTTTCACTTTTTGTTTCATTTATCTCTTTAATGAATGAACACAAGCAGTATTTGGTAATGACTGAAACCAGCCATACTGCACACACTGTCATACTGTAGCTGTGCTTTGCGCCCGTAGTCACAAAATTACTAAAATTAATTCCCCTGGCTATGTGTGTCTGTACCACGTGTCGCTGACTTTCATAATGCACCACCGATTCAGCTACTGTACAAGTGAACATGTGTCACTCATATCCAGTGTACATGTAATAGTCTACATATTGCAATCACAGCTTCTATGGATTTTTGTGAACCATTAGTGGCTCCACTTTGTCTAGCTAGTTAAACTGCACACAATGATCAATGCTACACATTATAGCACCTACACAGCAAGGTTTTGTCTGTTGCTTTGGTCTTGCATTGTGACATCTGCTCTAGAAAGGTGGGTATATAAATAAACTGGTATTTAAATACTTATGAATTATAAAAGAACTGCAGACTTTCACAGGACTTTATGTCCCAGTGCGTTGTGTGGACCCCCCCCCCCCACACACACACACACACTTGCACAAGTAACACGGTTGACCTTAATGCACAACTCCATTGTATTTCACTGTAATGGAGAATTATGATACGCAGGACGTGAAAATCCACTGTGTGCACTTGTGTCTGTTACTAGGGCAATGAATTCAGAAGCACTGACCCATGAGGCCAAGTATGCTTGATGCTTCCAATACCATTTACCAAATGGCTGAATCAAATGCAGTTATTTCCACTGGAAAGCACAGAAACTTTTTTGCCACATCCTGGGGGAAGTTGGTTGCATAGGGCCCATTAAAGGAATCAATGTCCAAAAA